ACTGCATTGCGGTGGTTCCACTCCTGCTTGACCAGTCATTTCCAGAAGTTGGTGCTGGGGGATTATTGCTGTGTGCCATGGGGTACTGTAGGGTTCTATTTTATCCCACATGCACTTTAACATCTACATGAAACCCTTGGGGGAGGTTATTCAGAGCTTTGGGTTCAGGTACCACCTATATGCAGATGGCACTCAGCTCTATCTGTCTTTTTTATTGAACCCAGGAGAGGCAGTGGCCACTCTGAATCAATCTCTGAGCAGGGTAATCGATTGGATGAGGGCCAAGAAACTGAGACTCAATTTAGATAAGGCTGAGGTGCTGTTAGTGGGTGGTTCATCTGTCTAGTTGAGTGTTATTCAGTCTGTTCTGGATGGGGTTAGCAATCCCCCTATATGACAAGGTTTGTAGTTTGGGGTTGCTGCTGGACCCAGAGTTGTCAATTGAGGCACAAGTGCAGTCTGGCATAGAGGCACCTTTTCTCAGCTTAAGCTGATATACCAGCTGTGACCCTGTCTGGACTAGCTACAGTTATCCATGCTCTGGTAACCTCTTGTTTGGATTACTGCAAAGCATTCTACATGGGACAGGAAATGGTCTGGAAACTTCAGCTGATCCAAAACAGATCAGCAAGAATATTAATAGGGATTGGCTCGCAAGAATACATCATGCCAGTCCTCTTCCAGCTGTACTGGTTGTTGCTTGAAGTATGGGCCCTATTCATAGTGCTAGTACTAACATTCAAGCCCTAAACTGCTTGGAGCCAGATCATCTGAAGGATCATCTCTTCCCATATGTACCTACCTGGACTCTCTGGTCATCCGGGGGTCCTTCTCTAGGAGCCTTTTCCAAAGGAAGTGAAGTGGATGGCTACTAGGAGAGGGGCTTTTTAAGTTGTGGCTCCCTGGTTTTGGAATGAGTTCCTCAAGGGGGGCCTTACTTTGTATTCCTTTTGGTGCCAGGTGAAGACCTTTTTATTTTCCTGCCATTTTAATCATCTACCTTTTAAATTTTGGTTTTATATATCCGATTTTGTTTCTTTACCACTGCTATGCTTCTGTGCATAATAGCAACTGTAACTATGGCTTTCTTCTTTTAATTGTTCTGTGTGTATCTTTTAATTTTGCTTAATATTATCTTTTGTTAACTGCCCAGAGAGCCTTGGCTATTGGGCAGTATTTAAATGAATTAAATAATTCTATTCATTCATTCATTCATTCATTCTCCTGCTGCTCTCAATCTTATCCCCACAAAAAGAACTATTTGAGGTAGGTTGGGCTGAATCTCTGTGACTGGTCCAAAGTCACCTAGTTCGCTCCATGGCTGTGTGGGGATTAGAACCCAGATCACCTGAGTCCCAGTGATAGGACTATGTAAGCTACATTGAGTTCTTTAAAAAAAGGCAGGATAAAAATCAGTCAAACAAAAAATAAATCTGTCAGTACTCAGCCTCCACTTTGGGTAGCCAACCTCATAGTTTATCACACTTCCATTAACTAAAGGATTGTAATCTGTTCAAAGCCTGTCTTTTTATGTTCGCTGATTCACAAGTGGTCAGAGGGTGGATAAGATGCAGGTGGAATGAAGTACTGGTAACCCCCCTCTAAGCTCCTCCCCTATTGTAAATCCAGTGCTTAAGGTAGATGTGATAAATGTGTTGTGTTGTAAACAGCCCAGAGAGCCTATGGCTAGTGGGGCAGCGTATCAATTGAATAACTAATAAATAAGAAATGAGAGAAACATTTCCTATCTGCTTAGCCTTATTACAAAGAAATGACTGAAGTTGTTAAAGCTTTTATTGAAAACAACATTGCTGAATTTTGGATGGTTATGCAACCATGTAATAAGCACATCCAGCTGGAGTGAGTTTTAAAATTAAGATAATAGGGCCACTAACTTTCTGTTCTAGGGCTCTTGTGCTTTTGAAAGATGAATGAGGATCAGAGTAGCAACTACAACTTTCTCCATCACTGTATCCTTATGCTACATTTGGTTGTACCTATTATATTACTGTCTTTCAAGCAAGCTTCAGTGGTATAGGTGCTCTGCTAGAATTAAAAAATGCCAATCCCAGACAGGAACAATGGATTAATTGGTGTTTACTGCTATCCATCCTTTAGTACCTATTAATGGTCTGTGTTGTATAGGAGTGAGAATGTTCCTGTCTCTGTACCTGTTGAGAGAGCCAGAAGAGATAGAAAACACTAGTAATAATGGTTAATTTGCTTAAGTTCTCATTAGAGATGAAAAAGTGGGCAATTGAAAGAGTCTGCTGTCATCTTGGTGCTCTTTCTCCTTCCTTGTCAGTAATGCCCCAAAGTCTGTTTTCATTATGTTTAATATAAATTATATTTGAAGTGGATTGGACTCAGTACAGTTGCATCTCAACACTTCCTTCCTTCTTCCTTTTCTTGCATTTTGTGTCTATGATTTCTCCATTTGGAGAACCAATTCTGGGTGGAGGAGTGAATTGAGTTGATGCCAGACAAAGACATTTTTCCTCTTTCAGGCATCTAAGTAATATGGTGTTACAGTTTTGTCCCAGAGTTGCCAAGAAACAAGTGTATCATTGGAATATTCAGACTCAAATGACCTAGTCAGTTTCTCCAGTTCTTATCAGCACTTATAAGTCAGTTGTGGAATGGCTCCAGAAATTTGAAAAGTCACTTACCTGGACAGAGACAGCCTAGCCATAGTTACCAGTGCTTTGATACTTCTCCTCTGGATTACTGTGCAGTGTGATATATCTGAGACTTTCTTTGAAAATGCTCCAGAAACTTCAGTGGTCCAAAAAGGGGCTGCAGAATTGTTACCAAATGCTGGTCAATATTTATATATTATCCAAGTGTTTTGTGGTCTGCATTGGTTTCCAGGCCTAAACAGATTAGAACCAGATTACATGGAGTTTTATTTACTCCTGTAGCTACCTGCCCAGACCCTTAGATCATCTTCAGAGGTCATCTTCCCACATTTCTGTCAGTGAAATATTTATACTAGAATAAGGAACTGCAATGAAATACATAAAATACGGAAAGATAATCAGATGGTTCGTTGAACTAAGTTCTACAAAACTCTCCACTCGCAGAAACGGTTTCTATATTAACTTGTTTGTCATAGAAACCCCTGCATGGGACACGTGGGCATATTCTAAAGTGCACATTCCGTTTGTAAAGTGCATTGATCAGGTCTGTAGCCTCACGTGTACTCCAATTAAACGTCACTCTCTTGTGCCTGCACAATGCAGACAAACATCAGTAGCGTTAAGCCAACTTTCTTTTGTCGTTCTTCTTCTCATTGAGGATCTCTAATAAGCTTCCAAGGTGCCCAAAGATTCTCCAGGACAGTGTGAAAACCATTGATGAAACTCATAACTGGCAACATTAGAATTCAAGCAGAGATCTTTTCTCAACATTTTGCCGAGGGCTAGATGCAAAATATTTGTCCTACTCCAAATTATGACCCCTGCTCAGAATATATTTTGTGGCATCTCTTGAACCAGTTGGCTGCTTTGATAAAATGTTTTAATTATCAAATGTAATTTAAGGATTTAGAAAAAAAAGTATTTTAGAAGAAAACATTTTAAGGCCTAATAGTACAGTATTTAAACTAGGAGTGTTCAGGTGTGAGCGTTTGGGGGGGCATTTTCAGCCCCTTGACCTCTCCACTCTCCATGGAGTGTTGGGGGAAGAAGCCTGTGGAATTCTGCAGCAGGCCACTAAAGTAACCTAAAGTAGAATTTGCTTAGAAGAGAGACTTGAGCATTTGAGGCTGCCATAATGGTTTGGTCCTGAATTTTGGTCACAAACAAGCTATATTTTTATTCCATATATTTATTCTACAACCTATTTCAGCAATGGTGTGAAATATAAGGCAATGGAAAGTTTCACTGCAGCCCTTGGGTCACATGTTGTCCGCCTCTGATTTAAACTAATACATCTCACCTGGTGTTGATAGAGAGGCAATTGAAGGCTTAGTACAAGATCACAGAAACTGAAATATTCCTGTCCCCAAATTTCAGGAATGATACCTATTTTAAAAGAGATTTTTTTAAAAAGAACTTACTGATTTTATTACAAGTTTACCTACACATGCTGTAGCATTTAGGTATTATTCTTACAGAGTAAACTAATTTTCAAAAGGTGATGCAGTTAGTTTGAAGGCCAGATAGTGAAGATGAAACTCAAATACTTTGGCCACCTAATGAGAAGGAAGGACTCCCTGGAGAAGCGCCTAATGCTGGGAACAATACATGGCAAAAGAAGAAGGGGACAGCAGAGAATGAGGTGGCGAGATGGAGTCACTGAAGCAGCTGGAGTGAGCTTAGGTTGACTCCGGGGGATGGTGGAGGACAGGAAGGCCTGGAGGAATGTTGTCCATGGGGTCGTGATGGGTTGGACACGACTTCGTGACTAACAACAACAACAACAGTTTATGAATAAGACTGTGATATATCATATCATACTCAATTTATTCAGTGAATTGCTTGATATTTACTCATTTGTCTTTGATTTTATGTCTTTAGTTGCTATTGAGAGCTCTGGATTGTAAATATGTATAAAAAATTCAGGTTCTTAGATACTAGATAACTTTTAGTTGTTGTTTTTCAGGGAGCATAGACTAATGCTCCATGATTATGTGCTCCCTCTACACCATATCTGTCATCTCTTACGTAAATCTCCCCATCTTACTTTCAGCAGCATCAGCTACGAAAGCTGGTTTTAAAACCAGCTTCTGATCTTGGTAAAGAGTGAATATAAGGAAGTGTGGGGTGAGTTTACAGGAAGAGTGTGTGTGATAGAGCACATAGTTCTGTGGCTTCCAGTTTTTTAACGATGGTGTGCACATGCCTGCCCAGTGTAAGATGTGATAAAAGAATGCCGCCCCACTGAAAGAACCAGAGGAAGAGGAGTACTGGGGGCTTGTCACTTAATTACTTTGTCTTTCGTACAAACCTGCAAGTAAATGTGATGGCTAAAAATGATTGTGTTCTCTTTTGAAATAGCTGTGCGTTACGAGGCATCTTTGCATGAGGAGAGGCTTGTTCTATGGCCTCAGAGTTGGGTGCAAGAGAGGATGGCAACTGCACAGAGCTGGCAACGCCCCTCTATTTGCGCTATTTGGAGAAAGCTCTGCGATTGGATAATTTTTTACGTCAGACGTCCACCATCTTCAACAAGAGTATATCCAGGTATCAAATCTTACCTTATTTTGATTTGGGAACATGTAGAAAGGAGACAATATTCACATTTTATGTTATGTCTTTGGGATACTAAGTATCTTGACTTGGATCCTCTTCAATTCCACTAATGGGATAGAACTCACAGAACTAGACTGTTCTAGTTCACCCTTCCCTCTGTAGCACCCTGAACTTTCCTACATATGTTTCTGCCTTGGGAATAGGATGGGATATAGTGCTGTAATAGCTGCAGTCAAATAACAGCTTCAAATTATATTCAAAATGGGAGTGAGTATGGAATTCATGTACATGCACACATGCATGCACACACACACATATGCACACGCACACTCCTATGCATGGCTAATGTCTGCTTTTAAAGTAATCTGTTCATGGATCTTGTGAATCAAGTCTAGTGGGGCTCTTACACTATAAAGTTCTTGAATAGTATTCAAAGTTACTTTTGATGCTTTGCAGCATCATTGTTTCTCACATGCAAATGGTTTAGACATGTAAAACATTTGAAAACTTTGGAGTCATGGAAGAGAAAACTTGTTTCTAGGGAAAAGGAAAACATATTGGGAAAAATTGTAATCTGTGCAACTCTTAAGAGTCACTTTCTGCTCACTAGATTAAAGTCTGATTTTGGAGGCTTCTGAAATTAGAATGTCTGTCATGCTGTTACCAGCAAGGTCGAAGGAGGGATGGAGACAATTTTTGCCTCTCTACCCTCTGTTTACATTTGCATCTCTTTGAGAGGGCTCTGAGGTGTCTGGAGGAATCATGCTGCTGAGGGCAGTGGTGGGACTAGAGTGCCCATGAGAGTGTGTAGATCCTGGGTTCTCTTCTCTCAGTTCCTTTCCCTACCAGCTGAAACAGCCTCTTTCTCACCTCTGTGAAATAGTCTGAGGTTGTATTTACAGGAAGCTGGTGCCACAGTTCCTTCCATGGTAGCTGTGATGGAAGGGGAAGGGGTCCTGTGTTGAAATCCCCTCCTGAACTCATAGCAGCGTCTTGGGAGGGGAAATCTGAAAATTCCAGTATTCCTGGGGCTCTATAGGATTGTACACATAATTTATTATTAAACCTACAATCCCTTTTCTACATTACAAGCATGAAGTATCACATATACAACTTGACATTTTATACTGTAGTTTTAAAAAAGAAATTCTGCATGCCTTTGTTGTCAGTAATTACAAGTAAGTCTAGTGTCAGAGATGGAACTAGGTGCGCATTTTCTATGACTGGATGACTCCTGTTTTATACATTTCTGCCCCTCTTTTGCTGCAGTAATAGTGCATTTTAAATTCTGTTGCAGTGATGAAAGTGAAGATGGATTGGACGACAATACTCTGCTTCCTCAGCCTGGGGGTCCCTTGATGCAAGTTAAAGAAGAACCTGCAAGCCCCTTGCTTGGGGAATCTTCTGGAGCAGGAAGTTCTGGAATGTTAAACACACATTCACTAAACGGAGTGTTGCAATCTGGTAAATATACTTCAAAATGAATTTTAGTTTGCCTCTGTTGATAGTAATCTGGTTGCAGATAACCATGTATTTGGGCCAACAAACAACTTTATTGATTAATAGCTACCAAAATGTACTAATCATGCCACCTACTTGCAGGAACATGCAGGCTGGTACTTGTAACAGCAAAACATACTTTCTTTGTCCAAAACATCTTTAGATTCAATGGTTTACATAATGTATTTATTTGGACTTCTGTAACACGCTTTACGTGGGGTTACCCTTGAAGACAGTCCGGATACTTCAATTGGTTCAAAATAGAGCTGCCAGGCTGCTGACGGGGACGGGGCGTTATGTTCACATGACTCCAGTCCTCCGTCAGCTTCACTGGCTTCCCATTGAAGTCCGGGCCCAATTCAAGGTGTTGGTGATGACCTATAAAGCCCTAAACGGCTTGGGTCCTGGTTACCTGAAGGAACGCTTACATCCATATATGCCCGTCCGCCCCTTGAGATCTTCAGGAGAGGCCCTTCTCCAGGAACACTCCGTGAAAGAAATTAGGAGGGTAGGTACTCGGAGGAGGGCTTTCTCTGCAGTGGCACCCAATCTATGGAATGCGCTCCCCAGAGAGGTCCGCCTGGCGCCGTCGTTATTTGTTTTTCGGCGCCAGGCGAAGACCTTTTTATTTAAGCGTCATTTTAATTGTTAACAGTATTTGCTTATTTTATCTGGCCAGGGCGACTTCTTTTGTATTGTTATTTATTTTATATTGTTATTTTTATATTGTTACTATTGTATTTTTCTTCATGTTGTGAGCTGCCTCGAGGCTTCGGCGAATGGGGCAGCATATAAATGTTTTAATAAATAAAATAAATGTCTTAAATACCTCTAAAACAGGGGTCCTCAAACTTTTTCAACAGGGGGCCAGTTGAAAGGTATTGGCAATGGGCACAGGCTGCCAAGGCGGGGTGGGGGTGGGCAGGCGCAGAGATTGTTTTCTCCAAGCGAGTCCAAAACAATCTCCTTGTGAGCAAGCTGCCACCGGGTGCGTGCACGGCGAGGCGTGGGCTTGTTCGTAAGGAGATCGTTTTTTGAGTCCAAAACGATCTCTGCAAGAGCAAGCTGCATGGTGAGTCCACAACCTCTATGATGGGGCTGGATAAATGGGCATGGCAGGCTGGATCTGGCCCGCGGGCCATAGTTTGAGGACCCAAGCTCTAAAAGAAAGTTCTCTAGTTTTTTATCTAATAGAAACATTTCTTCTCTTCATGTACTTTAACAGAGCCAAGAACAGAAAAAGGGAGCCTATATAACTTTTCCAAATTGAAGAAAAGCAGAAAATGGTTAAAGGTAAGATTTTTCTTATTGGAAACTCAGATGTGGTAATAGTGATGGCCCTGTTGCAATATTCTCTCATATACCTGCAGAAATTGGAAAACACTGATGCTGCTGTCACAACTCTTCATATATGTTACAGTCTCTTAGTTTAGTAGAATTAAGAGAGATCGATCAGCATTGATAGAGGTTTTAATTCTTCTGATATCACACTAAATCAAGGCTAGGAATCTTTTCTTTCAAGGGCCATTGAAATGTGGGGGCATTCAGTTCACCAGTAGTAGGGAGACAGAGCCAATAGTAAGTACCCCCCGCCTTTTCTTCCTCTCTCTCAGACCTCAGAAGTGCAAATAATTTCTTCAGAGCTGCAGATTATGCCATAAGTACTTTTACTCTCCACTGAGTGCCTCTTCCCCTTATATTTCTTGTTTCTAACCTACCCTCTATCAGTAGATCCCAGAGCAGAGTGCAGTAATCAATGCCATTCAATATAAAACTACAGCAGTACAAAATCAGCATGAATAAACCAAGTGTTTAAATCAAAACTGAGTTGCAGTTAATAAAACTCAAAGGCCAGGTCTTAGCACTGAAAGGAAACTGGGATTGGTGCCATCCAGATCTCTGAAGGGTACAGTTTTTCATAACTAGGCTCCACAGCCAATAAAATATTTATTGACATCTCCAGTAATGTACAGTCCCCAACAGTGGGATGCAAAGGAAATCCCCCTATGTTTCAACAACAGTTCCACCACATAACATCTGAACACAACCACTCTCTTCCATTTGGTAGTGTTATTCACTGAGAATTGTAACATTCCTTCCCTGGGCAGCAACCTTACAGTGATAAGAGAAAGATCAGAAGATCTCTGAATATGAAAAACATCTTCATACAGAAGTTTAAAAGTTTTTGCACACATGGAGGGTGTTTCTTCTTGTTATGTATTTTTTCCTCTTTGTTACAAACATGGGGGAAGCAGGGGAATGATTTAGTGGGAAATATAGACTAAGCATGTTCTTTATATGTAAATGACATTACAGATTTGTTTCAACCTTAGAAGTCTTATTCTTACAAGCACATTTCAGAAATTCTTACTACGAATGTAGTTATTTTTCTAACTGTCATTGAACTAAAATAATTTCAATCTTGGCAGAGCATTCTCCTGAGTGATGACTCCAGTGAAAGTGAGTCAGCAACTGATGAGGATGGAGAAGAGGGGGAGGAATTTACTCTTTCCAGGGAAGAACTTCACAATATGTTGCGATTGCACAAGTACAAGAAACTGCATCAAAGTAAATACAGCAAAGACAAAGAGGTAAAAATTTTTAAAGCATAAACTGTCCATTGCTTACCATTTTGGAGAGTAAATATGACTAGCTCCATCTATTAGTGTACATACGATACTAACCCATCCCCTTCAGCCCCACAAAATAGGCTTTTCATGCTTCACTTTCTCTGTTTTTAGAGCAGAGGCAGTATTGTTATTCTGTTTGTTCCCACACCATGTTAGCTTCTGAGTATTGTTGGAACAGGAAAGCATAGAGTTGCTGGTTTCTTGTTTTCATCTATAGAAATAAGATTCATCTGTGGATTGAAACTGTTGGCTGCAGAATTGTATGGTCCTAGATCCCCTCCTCTGGAATCTCTAGAGAGAATTCTCTGGTTTCTAAACGTAACCTAGTAGCAACAGGCTGCCAGGCATTCAGAATCTATAGGGTAGGTTTGCACTTCATGACAAACCACTCTGCAAATCAGCTGCAAAGGGTGTGTTGCTCATAAATAACCAGTGGTTTGTCATCTGCCACTGCTTCCCTCTTGGTCCTCCTGCAAATACAGGCATCCCTGAGTTATAAACGTCCGAGTTTAAAATGACCCATACTTATGAACAAACTGCCATAAAGCCTATCAGTTTAAAAAAAATACTGCAGAAAATCATCATTACCATAGTGAGAGAGGGAGCGAAAGGAGAGAGAGAGGGCCTCCAAAGCATGCCTTCCTGGCTTCCCCATCCAGAGAGGGAAATCTTTCTGGCATTCCTTGCTGCAGAGAGGAGGTTCTGGTGAGTTGGGGGCAGGGCTTAGAGATATTAATGGTTTTCTCACTTTCATGGGGGTACGGTACCCCTAACCCCCCTGAATGTGGAATACTGACAATACATGATCCAACTAACATACAGTCAGCACAAAATGAGTCTCTGAGCATGCACGGAGTGGTTCATTGAACCCCATCTAACAACTTCTGTGAATCCTCCTTTTGAGTAACCCTGGGCTCCCTTCCTTGAGTGGGGGGGGTGGCTTTAGCTGTACTTGGCCCCTCTAGTCGCCCAACCCTTCTCTTCCACTGCCACATCATGGTGTCAAGAATTGTACCAGCTTCGCCTGGCTCTCAGAGCTCCTGTTCCATCCCTCCTTCTGGCAGTTGTAAGTCTTGGCTATTCTGAGTCCTGAACACCTGGAGAGAGAGACCTTAAGATAAGACCCTTCTCCTCCTCTTCCATCTCAGTATCTGGAGGCCCAGTTTCCCAGAGCCCATCATTCTCATCTGGACTCCAAATCTCTGTGACCGTGAAAATCATGCCAAGAACAACTACCTTTTTCATTTCCAACAAAAGTGATCTCTGAAAATATAAAGGAGAAAAAAGCTGCAATGAGTGCAAAAGGGCCCATGGTTGCAGCCCGGGACCATGAGTTGTTGGACTGGTTTGTTGCCTATGGGAACTGGCCTGGATTTGCAGAACTGAACATGGTTTTTTACCCACTACAAGTTATCACATCATGCACACCCAGTATTCTTGTTCGAAAAGATACTTACACGTTCTTGCCCATCTTTTTACCTTTCTCATTAGCTTCTTAAACAGGAGCAAAACTAAGTATCCTGTTCTGCTTCAGTTGCAGCAGTACCAGTATTACAGTGCGGGTTTGCTCTCCACATATGATCCTTACTATGAGCAGCAGCGTCATCTCATAGGACCCAAGAAAAAGAAGATCAAAGAAGAAAAAAAATTGAAAGGTAAACATTGTATTGATTTTTTTCATGAGATTTAGATTGTTTTTGGTTGCATATCTAATTGTTAATAAGAAAAATAACTTCTCAGAAACTGTAGTTTAAAATGATTATTGGGGGCATGTTGCACTACTCTTGTCATTCAGCCAATGGGACATAAGTCCAGATCTCATATGCCTACACTTCTAGAATTACTACTATGAATTTTATCCAGACATGCTCTTCTATTAGCTGGTAGCACCTTCCACAGTGGAATGGTTTTTCCTGAATTAGGATGAATTTCTTATTTGGTAAAAAAAAACTGAAACCGAGTGGGATACTTCTATTAGAGCTGTGGAATCTCTTGCTTGGCAAAATAGGCTTCATTTCTTAGTGTGAAGTGGCACAACTGAGCAAAACTACCACATGTGGGAAGCTCACCTGATTGTGCAGGCTCTCACTTCTAGTTGTACTAGTTGTTAATCTTTCAAAAAATAGAACAGGCAGAAAACAGGAGGAATAAATACTTGTCTGTAAACAGATAACATTTTTGACTACCTGTTAATTTGAAACAGTAAGCCTTCATGCATGAATTTGAAGACAATTAAGGGGGGACAAGCTTACATCAGATCTAAGGGCTTGCAAATCTAAACAATAGAAAGTGAGTGTGATATAGTAGTCAGAGGGACAGAGTAGGACTTGGGAAACCCTTCTACCATGCAACTCTCCAGGTGAACTTGGACCAAACCCATGCAGTCAAATTTACCTCACAAAGTTTCTGTGAGGATAAAAGTGAGGGAACAGAACCACATGTACTGTTCTGAGCTCTTAGACAAAATTTTTTTCATTCTTTATCCCAAGCTTCTTAGTGGATACAGTGGTACCTTGGCTTACGAACTTAATCCATTCCAGGACCCAAACTGGTCATGAGCCAAGTTAAATTTCCCATACGGTTCAATGTAAATAAGGTTAATCCGTTCTGTAACTATTTTTTTAATCAGAACATTGTGAAGCAAACTGACAACAACAAAGATCGTGGCCATCTCCCCCCCCCCGCACAACTGCGATCGCCCCTGTCATCCCTGCATGCGCCCATCATCCTGGCACGCTGTGGGGAGAAAGACGGGCACAATCACGGGCACGCGGGGGAGGGGGAGACAGGCATGATTGTGCTGGGGGGGGGGGAATGGCCGAGATCGCGGTTGCGCTCATGCAGGAAAGCCAGGCGCAGTCATAGGCGCACTTGTGTAGGAAAGACAGGCGCGATCTCGGCCATCTCCCCCCACCCCCCGTCCCCAGCACGATTGCAGCCATCTCCCCACTTGCCACTCAATGCAGAGTTCACAACCTGAGTCAAAATGTTTATGAAGTTTCTGTTCACAATCCAGTTTGGTCATGAACTGAGGTGTTCATGAGCCGAGGTACCACTGTATTTGTGGTGAGTTAAGCATATGGTAAAACTGCACAGAAGGTAGTTTATAAGCACTTACACTTACTATTCTTGAAATGCCAGATATGTGTCCAAGATCATTTTATGAAAGAATTATTCTAAACGAAAGTAACAGGAAGTGGGGAATCTCTAACTAAGGAACAGCTGTAGTGATGATTAGTGATGGACCATTTTGAGATGATGCAGAAGCAGTCCTCATCTGGCATTTTGTGACTTGAAAGCAAATTATTTATTTTCTTGACCAAACAGTAGGATGGAATGGAAGTTTGTAAACTGGCATGAGAAAACAGGCTTTGAATGGAGCAGTTTTTTGAAAATATAGCATGTGCTTTCTGTGTTGGAATTCCTTTCTTTGCCAGTTTCCCTTTTTTGTTTTAGTTTTAGTTTTTCTTTCACTAATCACATACCCCTGTCCCCTGGTATTGGGTACAATATTTGTTTCACAGACTTTCACTCATGTTTTGATCAAATTATGTAGAGCTAGTGACTAATTCTTTGTGGTCTGCATGCATCACACATATAGGCTCTGTGCCTGCATGGAACCTCAATTTAGGAAGCTTCTTTGGCTGAGGAATTTTCAGTGGGAATTGTCCCCCACTATTGTAGTGTTCATGTCACTAGCAGGTTCCTGCCCATTCCTTCTGTTCCTCTTTGGCTGTTGTGGTGGCTTCATGAAGAGCTTCATTGTTTCTCTTGCAGATAAATTCCTCCTTTTAAACTGAAGTTGCTAGTACTTATTTCTATTTTTCTTTTATTCCTATTTCTTATTTTGTTACTTCCTTGGTAATCTTGGATTACCCTTTTTGCATACAAGTTCTGTGGCCTTCTTGAAAATGCATACAGTGTGGCAGTGAACTTTCAGAAACTGATGGTCACAGTCTCCTTTGTTTGGGTGAAAGGCATATTATGGACTCCTGTCTTCAATACCAGGTTTTCACCAAGCAAGACAGGCAAAACAGGTTCAACAGATTGAAAACTCTTGTAGAAGAGAGCACTAGAAGTGGCAGAACTTCACTGATGGAGCCACAGCATTGTTTCTCTTCAAAAGCAGCTACTGCTGTTTCGCTTGCCCTTGCAGGGACTAGATGGTTACCTTCACCTCTGCCAGTTGTTCTGCCTCTAACCATGGACCCAGTGGATCCCCCACATACACCTCAAGTCAATCCCTCACTGTTTCACTGGTGAAGAAATTGTCTAAGAGGGCTTGGATATTAGTTTCTTTGGTTCCAGTGAAGCAGAAGAAAAGGAAGAAGGGTCCTGATCCATCTACACAGCATACTACAGACATTTCCAGTTCATCTCCAAGTCAGCTGCTGCTGTTATTCCTTGAGTCTTTCGTACCAGCTGTACCTCCTACGTTCATATCCAGCTTCGGTTGCCTCAGCTTCAACTGAAGAGATCAGAGACCGTTCTGCTCAAGATGACTGAGAATGTCCTGTGAGCTCTAACCTCTATGAGATGTGACAAACACTCTCCTGTGTGGTACTGGCACCAGCAACCTGAACCCAGACTTCACTACAGAGAATGATTAAGTTATCTCAGACTGGGATGGGCATTCTGATTGGTCATTGCCTTCCCGTATATCATATTACTGGGATGACTAGCACCTGAGTCAGGGTATTGCTTTCCACTCGGACCCAACAGAATCAGTGATGAGAATCTTCTGGGTGTCTCTCCATGTCTTCAGATGCTATTAATCAGTCGTCCAGTACAGACATTTTTCATCAAACAGGACAGCATTCTCTGAGACAAGATACTGCTAGCTAGGGAGGTCCTATTTCTCCCTTTCAGTTCCAAGAATGTCTGTGTGGGATGGCAGATTTTCTGTTCCAGGATGCGAGGGGTGGTCCTGATGAGTTCCCACATCCAGCGCATGAGGACTATCAATAAGATATAGAATTTAATCTTCTGTGGCTTCACCATCCCACTTTAGATGAGATTCTGGAGTGCAGGGATCCTCATCTCCCCCTTGGAAGACATGAGGCATTTTGTTGATCATTTTATCTGTATGCTCACATAGATCCCATTTATCTCCAGTAGTCAAGCAAGGAAGGCTCCTTGATTTAATGGAATAACACATTTATTCTTTAGCAGTGTGCAGCCTTAACATAGAAAGCTATCAAGCATTCATGTCTTTGTGGAAGATGATTGCTTCTTTATGCATCTGCCTTCCTGATGAACAGAGAGAGTCTTCCAACTGAAACCCCTCCATCTCTCCCAAAAATACATAATACATCAGGTGACCAATGCAATGGCAAAGCCACAGTGGGAGCTATAGCACTAGGCTACCATGCCTGACTCCACTCTGCAGGATTATTTTAGGAGGCTCAATCACAAAACAAGGATTGATGTTTTGACAGAGATGGCGTGTTTAATTTCAAAAACTGGTGAAGCCATGGATTCCATGCAGAAAGGAAAAATGAATGCAAAGAAGATGGGTCTAAATTGGCCACATTTACCTGCTTTCTAGTTCAGATGCTGGGATTGGTGCTCATCTTTCTCTTAAACTCAGCACCAAGACAGCTGCTTCTACTAGTCTCAGCAGTTGCCTGCTTCTGAAAACAACACCTTCCACCCAGCAACTGATGTACGCAGGCATAGTACCTTTGATAACAGAGGTAGCACATAGCCTACAAGGCTAGTAACTGTAGATAACCTCCACCTCTATAAATCTGTCTAATCCCCTTTTAAAGTCATCCAGATTGGTGGCCATCAACTGTACACTGTATAAGGAAGTACTTTTACCAACTTTATTTGGTTTGGGCAAGTAATCTCAGGCAATCTCTGTGAACTCAGAAAAAGGCTAGAAAACCACTAATGACATGTGTGCTACAATAGTAGGAGATGGTTCCTGCTGAAAATTCCTCAGCTATACATGCTTCCTAAATCAAGAATACATGGATGCACAAATGACCACTCAAATAATGACATTTACAGGTAAGTAACTTCCCTTATCTGTGCCAGCTTGATCATTACATTCAGATCTCTTCCAGCTCAGTTCACCTTCCTCTTCAGTGCTTATCATTTTTTTTAAATGTCCGAATAGAATTTCATTTACAAGAGGGATGGTTTTATTTGTACATGCTAGCAAGGTGCTTTATTTATTTACTAAAGTTATATCTCACCTTTCTTAAGAAATAAAGTGGCTTACATCATTCTTCTCTTCCTGCTCTCATTCTTATCTCTACAACAACAACCCTGTGAGGTAGTTGGACTGAGTGTCTGTAACTGATCCAAAGTCACCCATTTGGCACCATGGCTGAGCAGGGACTGGAAGCCAGATCACCCATGTTCCAGACCCCACACTCTTAACCACTACACCACACTGGCTTAAGAACTATCTTATTTGTATATAGATACCTCTTCTGAAACACAGATGATTCAGGATCAGTAATCAAACTGCCAAGTGATTTTGCTTCTGGTTTGCAGAATAATGAGGAATTTGCAGGTAATATAAATTAATAACTTTAGTACTGAGAACAAGTTTTAAGGTACTTCTCTTGCTACTTGTTATTGGATAGGGCATGGTGAATTCCATGAATTAATATTAATGGCCTCAAATGGTTAAGGGATGAAACTGATGATACAACCTGCTGCCCTCTTACAGCCAAGTTGAAAAAAGTGAAAAAAAAGAAGAGACGAGATGAAGAAATCTCCTCTGAAGAGTCTCCACGACGCCATCATCACCAAACCAAAGTTTTTGCCAAGTTCTCTCATGATACCCCTCCACCAGGGTCCAAGAAGAAACATTTATCCGTTGAACAACTGAATGCTCGCCGGCGTAAAGTATGGTTAAGCATCGCTAAAAAAGAGCTGCCAAAGGTGAACTTCTATCATTTGAAATAAATGAGGTATAGGGGGGGAATACATAAGTACAGGAATGCAGAAATAAGGAAAAATAGGTGTCCAGAAATATTCTGCTACTGGTCAGTTACAACTGTTTTCTTTTACTATAAAAAGATCCTTTTTCTGAATTTAGCTGAAATAAAGATTTTTCTCATTACTTAAGAAGGACCAATAAACTAAAATGAGGGATAGAGAGGTAGGCTGGAAAGAGAGAGAGATATGCTTCATTTTATGAATTTTCATATGTAAAATATCACATGAGGAACCTATGAAAAGAAAAAGTGATCCATGTTGTTAAAAGAATGAAAAAAACTAGTATAGAGTAATAGTTAATCTTGTTACTTTTGGAAGGTTTTTTTAAACCAAAATTAGATGCAATATAACTTCTTCCATTCTTAATAATTGAAAAATTGTTTTTCAGGCAATGTTTTACTAATTAATGCTTTATTTCATTGTAGCATGAACCCTAATTTGATAAATTCTATAAGTAAACTATTCAGAGTATTAACAGTAGACATTTGACGAATAGTTATCGACATACTTACTATGCAAACTTAAAATATTTCAAGGGTGTGACCAAATAATAATGATCTCAATTCTTCTTCCTCCTCCTCCTCTTCCTCCTCCATTTTTTAAAGGCATATAAACAAAAAGTCTCTGCCCGGAATTTGTTCTTGAGCAACAGCAGAAAGGTACGAGGTATTGTGTATTATTTAGCACATACATTTATTCTTGTTGAATTACTATGTCTGTTTTATTTATTAATTATTGGAATCAATATTCTGTTGTTCAGCTAAACTAACTCTCATTTAATTTGATGGGGTTCACTCCCAGGTACTTGTCTATTCTGTATGGGTTTACAGCATTAAGCAAAAATGAAAATAATTCAGTGCAAATTAAAAATACCAGGTTTTAACTTGATTTTTTTTGTGATTCTCAAAATCAAAACAAAAATCCTAACCAAAAAGGGGAAATAAATTTAAATAATTGCAGTATTCTTGCATGAAATTTATGTATATCTGTTACACTGAATACATATATATGGTGTATCCCTTTCTATCTTGCATATATATCAAGATAGGCTATCATTATTGAAGATGAGCCTTCATAGACTTCAACAAAGGCAGTCTAAATTCCCATTTGTTTATTGCCTCCTAAGTTACACCTAAACACCTGATTTTGAAAATTGAAAGTTTTATCAAGTATTCTACCCATTGTGTTAGTGCAGGTGGCTGTTTATCATTCCAACCATGACATAGTGGCTTTTTCAGCTGTCAAAAGGGTTAAAACCCCCATTTATATCAATCTTTTAACTTCACAAAGTTAAATTAAGAAACTTGGAAAAACTAAAAAGAGGCTTCTTGATTCCAAAATTATATCAGTACTAGCTGAATCTTGCTGCTGATAATATTCCATAGTAGGGCGCCTCTATGGAGACGGTCCTTACCCACTTCCATGGGGGGATCCAGAAAAGGGCTTCTAATGAGAATCTTAGTATATGGACAGGACAAGAATTCCTTCTGGTATCCTGCTCACAAAGATGTTTCCCTAAGAATTTCTGTGGAACCTCACTGGTCATTCTGTGGCAGGTAAAGAGTCACCAGGCAGCAGTGTGTAAACAGGCCTTCTGAGTGGTGGCAGTGAGTGGTGGCCTTTGGAGTACCCTTCCACATGTCATTCCACATGTCATTTTAAACATCTTTTGAAAATGTACCTATTTATTTATTACATTTTTATTCCATCCAGTAGCCAAAGCTATTCACACTGGCTTCCCTGACGTGTAAGGAATTTTGTTACTACCCTGTTGTTATTGTTACAGTGTTGTTTGTAAATGTTTTAACATCTTAATTATTTATTATTTTATCTGGGCCATTGTATTGTTATTTTATGTGTTATTTTTAATGTGAATTGATTAGTAATTTCTATATGTTAAATGATATAGAAGTATTTTAATACATAAGTAAGTGTGAAAGGCTGTAACTACTTGTACCCAGAAACAGACTAGGAACATGTGGAGCAGAAATAAGATAGGATCATAACCCCTGGTCTCCATTAGCAGTTCTGTAACAGTTTTGGGAATCAACTAAGATTTCTGAACAGTTTTTGGGGACAGCCCAGCATATAGCACATTACCAGTTAATCAAATCTAAAGGTCAGCATAATGTGCTCAAGCTGATACTACCTTAGTCCACATGGGATCACAGCTGATGCACTATACTAACCCGGTAAAATGTGTTCCATGCCGCAGAAGCAATCAGTGCCTCCACTGGCAAAGTGGGATCAAGGAGCATCCTCAGCCTGCAAGCCATTCTCTTTGGGGAGAATGTAACCCTATCCTAAACAGTCAAAACTACATTTGGACAGACAGCCCACAAACAGTACCTTTTTCTTGCCTTGATCTACAGTTAACTGACCTTCACTGAATGCTTCATTCATTCAACACATTTCTGTACTCTCTTTCTGCCAAGGCATTTTGCAAGTTTTAAATATTGAAACATACTAATATGAAGAAGTAACACATCAGAATATAGCTGTCTCATGCTGAAGGTCTCCTCAACTGATGGCATGGGTCCTGGCCTAGTCTTCTGCCTTCTCTCAGAACACACAGGTCTCATGTAGCCCCAAGAAAGCTGCGGAGAGTGACTGCCGAACTGTTCTCTCATGTTTAAGAGCTGATAGCATGAGCTCCCAGATGTGGGATTCTTCTGTGAATCCATCACTGTGCTCAAGCATCAGTTCAGAATGGGAAATCTGTTGTGGTTCTTCTTTTTGCTTTCTTAATAGTACCGATGTAAAACTTTGAAATGTTTGGAAAATAATTTCTGTTTTTGATGAGTGTAGGAAGCAATGTTTCTTGCCAGGCTGCTTTTTTAATATACAAATGTTTATATATTTTTGTTGAAATGAGAAGAACTAAGAAATAGTTCAAAGAGATAAAAAATGAGATGCTGTGAAAAACAAGTGTAGATTGCAGCTATAGAACTAAGACTCAAAGCAGGATTTGTCTTGTGCAAAAGTTTCAGCACATCATTTTCCCTGCTGCCTCCATTTCCTGTCTCTTTGCTATTTATTTAAAATCTGGTCTTTTCTGTTGCTTCCTGGTAGCTGGCTCACCAGTGTATGAGAGAAGTGCGTCGAGCAGCTATCCAAGCCCAAAAGAACTGCAAGGAAACATTACCAAGAGCACGCCGCCTTACAAAGGAGATGCTGCTTTACTGGAAGAAATATGAGAAAGTGGAGAAAGAACATCGCAAAAGAGCAGAGAAGGAAGCACTGGAGCAGCGCAAACTGGATGAAGAGATGAGAGAGGTGAGACTAAAGAACAGATAGATGAAAACACAGGCAGTGGAACTAAGATAAAAACCTCAAGCAATGTAGTGAGTTACACATCCACTAAGGATTTTCCCCTCTTTTAAGGAGAAATCCAAATACTTCTGCTTAATTCCAAACTAAGAAGTCCTGTCATCTTTCTTGTTTCGCTAGTTAGTTAGAGGAAGTGTCTCAACTTTGCAGGATATAATGATCCAGTCACATTCAGTGCTAGTTTTTAAAATGGACCTAATCAGTTGTATGTGTTTTTGCTTGCATGGCATAATTTTCTTTGCTAAGTTCTTGTATATTTTAGCTGAACTTTTAAAAATAGTTTGCCTTTGGTTGATAAAGCTCTCTCTTAACGTCCATCTTAAGAGTAGACTTTACTGATGTTCAACATGCCAGTAGTTAGACCTGGGCTGTATCTGTCTTCAGCTGGAAAGGTCAAGTGCTGTTTCTTGCCTGACTTCTATTTAATCTTTTATTTCTGAATAGTCTCCTCCTGTATAAAATATATCCTTGCAGAACTGTCACCTTAGTGTAAGCAAGAAAATACAGGTTGGGCCTTACAGCCCTATAGATGTGTTAACAGAAGTATCTTTAACAAATGAAAGGGAACATTCTGAGATTAGAAAGTTACAAGAATATAATTAAGTCTTGCATTTCAATAAGTTCACAGTTATTAACATTAAATATTTTTTCTTTTGAGGTCCTTTAGATATAACATTATTTCTTGTGTTACATTGTAAATTATTTTAGGCTAAGAGACAGCAGAGAAAACTTAACTTCCTGATCACACAAACTGAGTTGTATGCCCACTTCATGAGCCGCAAGCGAGATATAGGACACGATGGAATTCAGGAGGAGATCTTAAGGAAACTTGAAGACAGTTCTGTCCAACGGCAGATTGATATTGGTGGAGGAGTTGTCGTCAATATTACCCAGGAGGATTATGGTAAGGAGTAGAACTGAACTCCAGCAGGTCTTAAGGAAATGTTGGAAGTCATCACAGGCTTGTGCAGACTTTGTGCTTTCAGATATATTTAAATAACCCATCCATAAAGTCTTGCAAATTAATCCATATTGCCTTTTTTAATTTGGTGGTATTTTCAGATAGTAACTACTATAAAGTTCAGGCTCTGAAGAATGCTGAAGATGCCTTCCGAATTCATCAGGCCCAGGTGAGTATTGAGAAACAATTATGAGGTAGAATGGAAAGTGTTCCAAATTACGCAGTTCCCCACACTGGCATGGAATATTTAAATCTTTCTTGTAGATTACTAGTTTTAATCTGTGTGTCAGGTTTTTGTTATCTCTGCTATTATATCCCTGTCAAATTATGAAAAGAGACTAGCTTTGCCTGGTTATTTATTTGGAATACTTATATGCCGCCCCCTTCGCATAAGCCTCAGGACAGCTTATACTGTGTTTTAAGAAATTATTATATCTGATCCTGCATATATTTACTCACACATAAGATCTGTGATTTGCATGGTATTTCAGCCTTAATATTTCTTTTTGTTTCCTGTTCTGCTTGTTTAGACCAGGTCATTTGATGAGGATGCTAAAGAGAGTCGGGCAGCAGCACTTCGGGCTGCCAACAAATCTGGAACTGGCTTTGGAGAGAGCTATAGCCTTGCCAATCCATCTATTCGGGCAGGAGAAGACATTCCACAGCCTACCATTTTCAATGGTAAACTGAAAGGTTACCAACTGAAAGGCATGAACTGGCTAGCCAACCTTTATGAGCAGGTACTTTAGCATTCTTGACACTAGTCCTTAGAGACAAGTTCCTTCTTGATACGGCTTCAGAAAGAATAGTTACACTTACATATACTGAGTTTGTAATTTTATAATTTAAAGATCATTTCTAAGAACAAATTTAAAATTTTTATTTTTCAAGGAGAGGTTGTATTGTATACCACAGGACTGGAACATGGCCAATGTAACACCGATTCTTAGAAAGGAATCCAGGAGGATCCAGGAAATCATAGGCTGGTAGCTGAACATCTGTTTAGGGTAAATTGATTGAAGGCATTAAAGATAAATTAGTAAGCATATAAAAGGATATGTCTTGCTGAGAAAGAATTGACATGACTTCTGCAAAAAGTCCTATCTCACTAAGCTTTTATAGTTCTTTGATAATATCAGACGTGGGCAAAGAAAATCTGTTAGACATTTTCTTGGACTTTTGATAGTCTTTTGCCAAGGACTCCTGAGCAAACTTAGCAGTCATGGAATAAGAAGGCAAGTCATCCTAATAACTATTTAAATAGCAGAAAGCAGAGAGTAGGAATAAAAAGTACATTCTCTCAATGGAGGGATGTAAAGAGTGGGGTTCCACAAGTATCTGTATTGCGACCAGTGCTCTTCTAATGATAATTTACCTGGAATAAATGATACATTACCTGGAATTAGGAGTAAGCCACAAAATGGCCAAGTTTTCTGACAACAACAAATTATTTAGAGTTGTTAAAACCAAAAGAGATTTTGAGGCACTTCAAAAGGATCTCTCCAAGTGTAATGCGGGGCAAAACTTTACAACTTCAAGTATAGGCTGATGGGATCTGAGCTAGTGGTACGCTGAGCAAGAAAGAGATCTTGAGTTGGGGTGGTCTGCTCAATTAAATTACTGACTCACTGTGAAGCTGCAGTAAAAAGGCAAATTCTGTGTTAGGAATAATGCAGAAGGGAATTTAAAATAATACTTCCAGTATCATATTGCATAATACATATCTATGATGTATGATGCACATAGAATAATGTGTACAGTTCTGGCTTCTCTACTGAAAAAAGGATATTGTAGAGTTAGAAAAAGTGCAGAAAAATGCAACCAAAATGATGAAAGGGTTCAAGCAGCTCCTCTTTGAGGCAAAGTTACTTCTGGGATTGTTTAACTTAACAAAAAAGCAAGTAAAAGGAGACATGATAGAGGTGTACAGAATTATGCATGATGTGGAGAATGTGAAAAGAGAGACATTTTTCTCCCTTTTCTCATGATACTAGAACCTGCAGTTATCTTAGGAACCTGCGCAATATGGGACTCAGGACAGAGTAAAGAAAGAACTTCTTCACATTAGTTAAACTGTGGAATTCCTTTGCACAAAATGTAGCAATTGCCACCAGTGTGGATGGCTTTAAAAAAGAGGATTGGACACATTTGTGGAGGAGAATGCTATCAATAGTTACTAAGCCTAATGGTTGTATTCTTCCTCCAGTATCAGAGGGAGTGTGTCTTTGTACAGTTTCTGACAAGCTTGGGGAGGAGGATGTTGTTGCACTAGTGTCCTGCTACAGAGCGTCCTGTGCGCAGATGTTTGGCCACTGTGGGAAGAGAATGCTGGACCAGGTGGACATTTGGTCTGATCTGGATTTGTTCTTCTTAAGTTCTTATGCAACTCCCCTCATATAACATCTGTTGCTATTTGAAAGAAGTCAGGCTTCAGTGTTATACTGATTTTCTGGCTATCTATTGTGTATGTTCTTGTGCCTTTATTGTTCTTTTTATGTGCTGTCACATCATCTCTGACTTAGGGCAGTTGTGTGTGCTCTGCAAAATGTCCTGTCCTTCACAGCCCTGCTCAACTACTATAAATTCAAGACTATGGCTTCCTTACAAAATCAGTCCATCTCATAGTCAAACTTCCTCTTTCGCTTCTGACTTTGACTTTACCTAGCATTATTGTCTTCTCCAGTGAATGTTGCCTGTTCATGATATGCCCAAAGTATGACAGCTTGTTTTGTCATTTTTGTCAAGGGAAAAGTATTGATTTGATTTAAGGCCTGCTTGTTTGTCCAGTGCTGTATTTCAAATGTATCTATTTTCTTCTGGTCAGCTTTCATACCCTTACCTGGTGATCAGGAATACAGTAGTGTGTATAATCATGCATTACACAGACTGAATTGTAAAGTGGCTGTTATTCTTGCAGGGCATCAATGGAATCCTGGCAGATGAAATGGGACTGGGTAAAACAGTGCAGAGCATTGCCTTGTTAGCACATCTAGCTGAGGTAGGTGAATTTTTTGTTGATGCTTCACTTGGTCCCTAACTTAAACATTTCTGCACTAACATTGGTTTTTATTCTCTGCACCATCAAAGCTAGAATGCACCTTGTCTTTCTTTGAAATCTTTATTTGTGCCTATCTCTACTGCTGTTGTATTCAACTATGTCCTTTACTTTCCCTTCTAACTTTAACTGCAAGCCCAGTTGCATCCATGAAGAGCTCTCTTGTATCTTTTCAGTGTGTACTCCCAAAGTGTTGAAGCTCCAGCCAAATGTGGGCCACCTCGTATTACATCTAGGTTCCCCAGATGGCCACTTCCTTTTCTTCTGGCCCCACTTCTTTCCCCCGGCTGCCAGTCATTTGGAGTTTTCCCAGCATTGTGCATTCTTTTCTTCTTGAAAGATTGAATTTCCTCTGCTGTGACTTATATACTTCCAGTAAAAGCTTTAGCCAAAAATATGTTAGTATCTTGGCCTACTGCTTTTTTGCCTTTCAGCCTACCATTGAAAGGCAGCCAGTGACCACCTACTGAAATTCTGCTTTTCAGGCTGAAAATGATTTGAGACTGAAAGAGATTCAGTGTCCTTGCTATATGCATTGTAACAATATTAGTGCATAGCGACAGTATTTCTATTGTAATTTTTAAAACATAATCTATAAAGGAATGTTCTGAGTATTTACTGACCCTTAGAAAGAACAGAAGATGCTAGTGGAACACAACAAAGACAGTGCTGTGTTTCAAAATAATCATTACTCTCAAAGTAATATTTAGGTTCACATGTTTTCGTATATCTTCTATCAGTTTTGTGAAGAAGTACTCTGGAGAGTTAAGAAAATAAATATCTGATCAATAGTGACAATAGGATGCTCTGTTATAACTTTTATATTCATCATTTGCTATTAATTTATTGTATAAAGTGTAGCTTCCTTTCAATTAAGCCTTTTTTTCTTCCAGAGAGAGAATATTTGGGGACCCTTTTTAATTATTTCACCGGCTTCTACATTAAACAACTGGCATCAGGAGTTTGCCAGATTTGTTCCTAAATTCAAGGTAACAAGCATTCTTGGGATGACTCCAGAAATTAACTTGCTTAATTGTTTTAACTTTAGGGCTTGAAAAAGTAAGGGGATGTAAAAAGTCTGACTGCATGGCAGTGTTTCTTGGCTTTGCTTTCAGCCATTTTTGCTGTAAGCCTACTAATAGTTTCCCATTTCCCGCTGGGTAGACTTTTGGGATTTATTTATGCACTGGAAAGATTGTTGCATCATCCAAATGCCTGACCAGTAAACCATGCTTTACACTTACATGGCTGCTGGCTTTACCAGTGTTTCTGACAAAAAGCATGCAACATGTGAAGATGAGATAGCACGTCTCTAAAAAATTGCAGACAACCTCCAAGAGCTAAGACCTCCTAGTACATATATAATATGGATGTTGGAGATAAGTGCCTTGCTTCATATTGTACACATTTGTCATGAAAAGCACCATTTTAATCTGGTTGTCACATAAGGTAGGAAACACCTTCTGTTCTCAATCACAGGCCTGGAGAACAGTACTGTAGTTCCTGCCACGAATACAGTTTTTCTCTTTATCAGCAGGTGGCAATATAACATCAGTTTTATTATGTTTGAAGGCAAAGTTGTTGCTCTACAATAAATATGCTGCTTCACTTAATCTCTGATTGAGAAACTGATTACAGATAGGGACATTAAAGGATTGTGTGTATTTCCCTTCCTCCATCTTTATGCTGACCTCCTGATCCAAACACAGACAGTGAAATAATAACACAGCTAAGTTGTAATTGTGAACTACTGTCTAATAAGTTACAAAAGATGCTTCTGTAACATCAATTCTGGCCTGTTTACACAGGCTGCTTGTGCATTTCCAAGCCTGTGTCACAATGCATAAAACTGATAAAACCTCAGGACTGCAATACCTGACCGAGTGCCTCTCCCAATGTGAACCTGCCTGTATAGCATGTTCATCTTCTGGCTACCTCCTCTGAGGGAAGCTCATTAACTGACTACAAGGTGACCCTGGTTATGGAACTACCTTCCCAGTGCAGCCTGTTTGGCAGAAACATCTTTTTGGCCCCCCACTTAAGAGTCTCAGGCAATTGGCTGCTTATGAATGATAATGTTTTAAATAGTGTCCCAGGATTTCTTGGTAAAAAATTCTTGACTGGGTGGGGTATGCACACATGTGTGCACTGTCTGTTTATTGGTCATTGGTCTTTATATTCGGTGCAGTATTGTGTTTTTAAGGATTTTAATCTTTGTAAAGATTTGAAAGAGCTTTGGCTGTTGGGCAGAAAGAGCTTTGAAAGAGCTTTGGCTATTGGGTGGAACAAAAATGTAATAAATGGAAGCACCTTGAATCAGATGTAGATTTTTTTCATGGTAATTTAAATCCATTCAAAGGGCCAATAAAACTGTAAACTTCACTGCTAGTTATTTACTCTTTGTGGCTTTATCAAGCTTTGGGATCAGAGATCACTAAGAAATATAAAGCTTATGAATACTTCTAGGTAACAATCTGACTTTGCACTTTCCAAGGAAGTAATGCTTTCTGGAACTTTTGCTGACTGCATAAATAGGAAAGGTGTGTAAGAAAATACTTACTCTGAATATGTTTGTGTGTACATTCTAGGTGCTACCTTACTGGGGAAATCCCCATGACCGAAAAGTCATCAGGAAATTCTGGAGTCAGGTACTTGTAACTTCACCACTTCCCGTTTTTAAACTTTGCTGATTTTTTTACAGTTTACAATAGAATGTGAAAACCCATTTCCCCTATACCCTCACAAAAGGGAAGAATAAACCCATGGTTGATTTCTCCATCCTAGTTTTATTTTAATATTAATCCTGTCTTCAGGACCAGCATCTACATTTCTTCTTAACCGTGTGTTTAACAGCCTTCCATCTTCCAGAGTTCTTTAAGCCCCTGTTCTAACCAGATTCCACTCTGCCATTTTGCAGACTTCAGAATTCCTTCCCAGTCTTAGTATTTATATTTCTGCCCTCTTCTCCCCTGTTCTCCATGTTGTTTTGACCTAAATTTCACCTAAATACTGTGCATTAACAGTAGGGTTATGTAACATTTTAGTTGTTGCTTATAAATAATATTACCCTAATGTGTTTTGTAGATTTTATTTCATTACTCCAGAGACTGAATTTGGGAGAGTACAGTAAAAATAATGTCAGATGTCTTGAACACAAATGTTTGCTCTTTGTACCACTTGAAAAGTCAACTCAGTTTATAGAACTCCAGTATATTTTCTGATTACAGAAGACTTTGTATACTCAGGATGCTCCTTTCCATGTGGTGATCACCAGTTATCAGCTAGTTGTCCAAGATGTGAAGTATTTTCAACGAGTGAAGTGGCAGTATATGGTGCTGGATGAAGCACAGGCACTGAAGAGTAGCTCCAGGTAATTGGTGCAGAAGGAAAAGAAAGCAGTGTCTTTTGATCAGTGACAGAAAGTATGGTAGGATGTAGTAGCTATATGCGATGTGAATCATGACTGGTTTGCTCCTTTTCTTGTATATGTTCTGAGATGCATGGTGGAATTTAACAGTCCCCTTACAATGCTCCGACTTCTAGTTTGGATGTCCACTGATGTGATAGCCTAGATGGGTTATAAGTCCAGGATCAGCACCCAGAATGGTTGGTTCTGAGGGGGCCCACTGGGACTGATGCCAGGCTCTTTAAAAAGACTTTAAAAAGTTGTCCAATACTATAGAGAAGTGCTGGGTAAGATAACTCCCTGTATTGTCATGGCCATCACCATCCTTCTCAGTGCCTCCGGAAAGTATATCAGAAACAAGGCCCACAGGCAGTGAGGAGGAAGAATAGGATAGTGATGGGAGGCAGTGCTGGGACAGGCCTGCAACAGAAGGGAAGATGTTTCTGTCTGCTGTTCATTGAGTACATAGCAGATGAAGTGGGGCTGGCAAACCTGAGTTCATAGATATTGGCACTTCTCTGCTGCTTGCTGCCAGCCACTGACATTCTTTCCATCCCTGCCTGTCCAGATTATTGTAGGCAGCAGCTTGAAAGAATGACCATCCACATTGCCACGGGGTGAGTGGCAGTGGAGGAGACATACCATTTCCCACGCTGTTCTGGATTTCCCAGCAGTCCCTTGCAAAATAAGCTTCCTTGAAACTCAGTGGTATGGTGCAACCCAGAGTAGTGGATTTGGGCACCAGGTCTTTTTGGTGGGCGAGGCCAATTATTATACCAGCTTATTACTGTTTGTTCTATTAATGTACTGCTGATCTTACTGCATTTCATTGTAAACAATCCAAAGAGTCCTCTGGGCTATGGGGGAGTATATAAATGGCATAAATAAAGTAAGCAGTGGTTCTCTCTGCAGCCCTGTGCTCAGTAAGCCCATAGGATATGAAGAAGATAGTCCATATAAGTTGAGAGCACAAGCAAGCAAGCCAAACTGAGAGGATAGAAGCCAGCCAGGAAAGAGTAAAAGCCAGCTGGAGTGGGCATAGAGGGCACCTTGCCATGGTCCTGTCAAAGATGGAGCCACCCCTAGATAAACTATAAAGTGCTCATACTTTAACCCAAAATGAACGTGACAGTGTTTGACTTTCAACTGGTCAAAATAAATTGTTCCCACAGTCTATTTTAACTATTTGTCAAGAAAATATCAGTACCCACTCTTTGAAGTTTGACAGCATGGAGTGAAGGGGCTATTTGTGCTAGAAGGGAAGGCTACTGATCAAATATAGATATGTGTTTGATCAGTAACTTTCCATCTAGGTGAATGTATGTCTGTTTATGGCTCTGTATCAGTAACATTGGAATGCCTTAGACTTTGTTTAAATCCCATTGGACTTCTGAAGCAGTTTAGAAAAGGGATGCAGTGGCCTGGTTCACACATCATCTTCCTGCAAGGTAGCTTAGGCCACCCAAATACCAGTTGGAAAGGAAGGCGGGAAAGCCCAGTCAACCTGCACTTCACAGAATATTAACAGCATAGTTTAATGTGTTGCACAAACACATGCAATAGATTTATATAAAATGGTAGGAAAATCATTTCTCTTTCCTAATAGATACTTAATTGATTAATGTTCTAATGTTCCTTTATTACCATGCCTTATCAGAGGTCATTTAAATAATTAAAATGCATTGGTATTTCAGTGTTCGTTGGAAAATTTTACTTCAGTTCCAGTGCCGAAATCGACTATTACTGACTGGAACTCCCATCCAAAACACCATGGCTGAGGTATGCACTCATCCACTTGGATGTTGGTATTCTAGATTTTCTTATAAACAAGTTAAGAGAGTTAGCTGTTCTGATCAAAGAAGCAATATCTTTGTTTAGGTAGAACCATACACACAAATTGAAGTTTCAGGTTGTTTTAGTGGCAGCATTTCTGTTATTTTCTATTCAGATGGTAACTTATCTCTTTAACAGTAGATACTGCCTCAGAGAAACAAAGAAACAAAGCTGTAGTTAAAGCACATTTATTCTACATAGTCTGCTGTCTCCCATCTTTGCTTATTCCTCAAGGTCCCAGAAGAGGGACTGGGACTGAAGTAGCAAGGGGTGTGGTTATTAACGTGCAAATAGGCATCCATTGTATTGATGATTTACTATGAAGGGTGGGAGACTTCCCTACCTTCCACAATGATCTCTCGCAAGACTATCAGAAAGGCACCATCCTCTCCCTAGAGCTTTATTCCAGCAACTGGGTATAAAACTTTGGAGGGAAAACCTTACCCTCTCTCCCATCAGATGTGTGGTGAGATTTCTCTGTCAGCAATTATTGATGGATTTTCTTCTAAGTTGTCAGCCCAGTCAGCCTCCTGAGTAGTATGATTGTCTTGCCTTTTGATGAAATTGTCGCTGTTGTGGCAAGCAAACTTGTTTTTAGCCTTTGTGGAATATTCAATAAAATATCTTTTTATTGTTAAATAACAATATAGTTATTTAATGGAGTGGCGTTGCCATTGTTATGTGCTGTCAAGTCATCTCTGACTTATGATGACCCCATGGAGTAACTTTATTTAATGGAGGAACTTTATGTAATACCTTCTTTTGTCCTTGTGCTTCAGCTTTGGGCCTTGCTTCATTTTATCATGCCAACACTGTTTGACTCCCATGAAGAATTCAATGAGTGGTTTTCTAAAGATATTGAAAGCCATGCAGAGAATAAATCTGCCATTGATGAGAGTAAGTATTGTGCAGTAATTTGTGTTTTCTGCAACAGTCCCACAACTTCCCATAATTATCAGGCTAATGTGTAAATTGTTGCTTAAATTGCTAACTTTAGATTCACTTAGGCTTATTTTGTAGTATTAAGGGTTCTGCTTATGGAAGCTGATGCTATACGATTGTTGCTGGGTTTATGGGAAGAGCAGCAGCAATAATTTTCCATGTGGGGTAGAGACAGTATAGTAACACTCGTAACATCCTAAGTAGTGCAAGGGAGGGACCATAGCTACATGATGTCTACCTGCTACTGCTCCTAAGTTCCACAACTAAAGATTTCATGGATCAATTTCTATAAAATTGCTACAATGGAAGAAACATAGACCCCCTACCCCCACCCTGGCCTGGTCATTTTCACTACAGTCTGTTTGTGAGTTCCAAACAGAACCATTGACAATCTGATATGTTTGCATTAGTGTGTGCGTGTGCGCGCATGCGCTGAATCGGGTCATTAACACAAATTAGGAGATCGACTAAAAACAGAAGTAGTAGAACATTGTTTTTCACTTTTGATGTAGTAATCACGTTTTTTCCTCTCAAATTTCAGATCAATTATCTCGCCTGCATATGATCCTGAAACCTTTTATGCTGAGGAGAATCAAGAAGGATGTGGAAAATGAGTTATCAGACAAGGTGCCAAGCAAAAATTAGTTGAACAATGAAACTTTTGCTTACTGTTTGCAATTTCTATCCCATTGTCTCATTGTCCTGTGAGCAGAACTCCACTGACAGAATGATCCCATTGGAAGAAACAGGGAGGGCATATTTGCTGATTTTTTCCTGTAGTCTCAGCTGACTAGCTGCTCCTGAGGTTTGTGGGACCACCTGGAACTATATAGGAGTTGACAACAAAGATGCTTCAGTAAATATGTCTCAGCCCTACTTCCAGACCACTGCTCTGCTACCAGCACAGTCAGATGATATCCTCCTCTACTTCCAGAACTCATGCTTTCATATAAAAATTGGTCACAAAAGATCCTTAAGATGGACTGATCGGGATTTCACAGCAAAAATAGTATATTGCAAGCTCAACCTTAAAGACAATGAAAGGTTGCATAAATATAGTAAGAGTGTCCAGGCTGGCATTGAATCATAGCAATGTACTGTTTAATTCTTCAGTATGGAAATTTGTGCACATTCCATACAGTGCATGGTGATTTTATTGCACTAATAATACTTGCTAGCTTGGTTTACATTTACTTGAAAGATTAATTTTTCTTTCAAAGAAGTCTGCTTTTATCAATTGAACTAACAGAGCATTTGTTTTCATACTTCAAACTTGAGCAATTTTGGCTGCAAGCCTCTGGGGATTGTTAGAAATTCTTAGACTGTAGAACTCTCTTGGGAAAGCTAACAAGCCCCTTCTCTCCTTGTTTAAGCATGCTCGGAACAATTCTGTTTAGTGTGTAAGTTTTAGTCTAGGTGCACTAGCATGCTCATGTGTTTTTAAAAGAAGACATTTTACTGATGCATTTTAATTTTTTTTAACATCACAATTTTATTGTGCTTGTTATCCTGCCTTTCCACTGCAAAAACCTTTCCTGGATAGGCTTCAGAAATCATACCAAAAGTTTTACAAAGGTAAAATTAAAGATAAAACAGAACATAATGATTAAATAAAAATCAGCAATAACAGCAGTAAGGAATACAGTACAGCTTTGTATAGTCAACCATATCCTGTATGTGGGAGGGCACTGGGATCCCACCAGCCCACCCCCATCCCATGGTGCATCTGAAATTTACACATTGGGTATATACGTGTGATGTATTTCTTACAAGGATGTACATCCTATGTGTGATATAAGTAAACATAACTACCACACATAGGGTTTTCCTTATTAAAAGGATTTTGTCATATACTTTTCTAGTGTTATTGACAGCCAGTTGCAAAACAAATCTGCCGCTGAGGAAAATGAATGCTACATAGGAAACTATATACTTAGAATAATGCATCTTGAAATCCCAAATTTCAGTAAAATAAACCACAAAAAGTTACTTAGTTGTCTACCCAGTTACAGAAGCAATGTTTCAACGTTTTGTTAGAGAGGGCCCTGTTTTTCAGTATTTGGTGGCATTTATCATTATTTCTTGCTGTTTATGAGTGGGATGCTTCATATCCAAATATTCTCAGCCAGGAGAAACATTTTATTTAGATGTTTATAAGCCTGAAATACAGGAATGAACCCATGCTAAATATTTCTGGAAGAGAATTCTGTCTCCTATAATTACTCATGAGCAAGCTGTATTGAACTTGACTTTGTGTATATAGAACCCTCTGTTTGCTCATAGTTTAACTCTCTTTCAGATTGAGATTCTTATGTATTGCCAGCAGACCAGTCGACAAAAATTACTGTACCAAGCTTTGAAGAACAAGATTTCTATTGATGACCTTTTGCAGTCCTCCATGGGCACAACCCAGCAAGCTCAGAACACTACTAGTAGCCTCATGAATCTAGTCATGCAGTTCAGGAAGGTGAGTCATTCTGAAATCCTTGGCTGATGGTGTCGAAAACAAAACTGACTGTATACTCACGTGCCATTGCATTTGAATGCAAGACCAACACATTACAGTAATTCCTCCTTATAGTTTGCAGTTGGGGGTCTTTGGTGTCATACAATGCATGTACTGGGAAAAATGAGCATTTTGGAAGAGGAACAAGATCATGAATGGAGAAGCAAAGTTGTGGGAAATTATGTTGCTTAGACTTCATGTATTCCCAGTCTAAAATAATTAATATTTTTTAATTACAGTCCTCAAACCACTTATTACAAAGTAATCCCTTTGGAAATATACTTAAATTTTCAAACGTTCAGAATACCTAATAATGTACATGATTGGTTTTCTTGGCAGTTTCTGACTTCTTACATTTTTATAGGTCTGTAATCATCCAGAACTCTTTGAACGACAAGAAACTTGGTCTCCATTTCACATTTCACTAAAGCCATACCAGATTCCAAAATTTCTCTATCGTCATGGGCAGATCAGGGTGTTTAACCACTCGAGGGACAGGTAGGCACTGTTGGTGAGCCCTTTAAATTCTCCAGTTCCACCCAGTCAGTCAGTGGGGCCTTCTTCAGCTACTGCTGTGAACAAAACAAATATAATCAGTACCTTTCTCTTTCAGACTTTGCTTATGTATTAAGAAGCCTAATTACCTCACAGGGTTTTCAGGCAAAAGCTACTCTTTGTGCTCCTTAAAGGGAGGATACAAAGATAACAAATAAAACTTGAACTGAACTTATATCATCACATTTAAATTATTCTGTTTATTTTTAGGTGGTTGCAGTTTTTACTTTCGCCTTTTGCACCGGACCATATCCAACAGTCTCTCTTTCACAGGAGAGGTAAGCTAAAGACCTTGCAAAACATTAGAATGAAGTTTGCTCATACTATTCAGTGTATAGAATGCTTTCTTAATAATCATGGATTAGATCAGTTTTTCCTCTTTTAGATTAAAGTTTCAAGAAAAGTAGTACTATGAACTTTTTGTTGATTTATCCCATTGCTCAATTATTTAATATTTCAAGTTTTTCTAATGTTTAACCTAAATTATCTTCCTGAAATGGAAACCGTCCATTCTTTGTCATGGCCCCTGTGCATCACACATATGGGTGCTGTGCCTGCGCAGTGCCTATGGCCAGAAAGATTTAAAGCTTAATGGTTTTGGTGGGAACTCCGCACCCCTCCCCCCCACAGCACAAAAGGGCGGAGTACCCGCCATTTCCTCAGTCTTCTTGCGACTGCCGTTCGCTGTGCCTCAAGCCTTTGATCTCTCAGTTTGTACTACACGTTTAGCCAGTTGCTATTATCTCTCTTAGACTGTTATGATTTCAAGTTTTACCCTCCCTATTAGAAGTTTTCTTCTCAATCCCCCTTTCCTGTTTCCAAAAAACCCCAAAAAAACAAAAATATTGTTCCTCTTCTTATTCTTACCTTGTTATCTTCTCCTTTTCTTCCTCGATGGCGCAGTGTGCAGCTTTCCGCAAGTGCTCTCAGTGCGGGTCTAAAATGTCGCCTACTGACCCGCACGATCTGTGCCTTCTCTGTCTCGGAGAAGGGCACAGGACTGATAAATGTGGTCATTGGCAGGCCTTTACTAAGCAGGCAGGAAAAATCGAGAAAACCGCCTGCGCAAACTCTTGTGGGACCAAGCCCTGCTCTAATCTGACCAACTGGCAGACAAATCTGCTTCTCCGTCCTCCTCTTCCACTACACCTCTGCTCTGCCCATTGGCTGATGGTGCTCCTTTGCTGGAGAGTCAACACTCCTCTACATCTCCACATAAGCAGAAGGAGAAGAGGAAGCATAGTGGATCAGACAAGTCCTCAGGCCATAAGAAGCCAAGACGGACAAGACGGCTCACAAATCTAAGAAACCCGACCATTCCCGACACCGTGACTTGAGTTTGTCTGCTCCGTCAATCCCAGTGGCCGCTTTGGTACCGACACCGACCGGCCCGGCCCTCCAGTTGGCCATGCAAGTGACCCTGCCTGGGTCTCCAAGACGGGTTGCGCCTTCCGTCCCGTCTTCCCCTGAGCACCAGGAGGTTGCCTTGTTGGGATCAATCTCTGACAGAGAGATTCGGGACTCTCCTCCAATGGCTCGCTCGCCTACTCCCCAGCCATCACTCAAGCCTTCCCTGAGGGCTGCTCCTCACCAGGTGCAATACCAACAGCGCACCTCCATTCGTCCCTTGGAAGAGTGGGTGCAGCCGCCCCATAAGCCGACTCATTGCGAGCCATGGGATGATTATCCACCCTACGGTTACTACCCGTCGGTATGCAGTCGTAACCTTTCTCCGGTCCCGAGAGACACTCCTTTGACTTCCAGAGCGGCTCAGACCAGACGTCCTACCTCACCTATTGATTCTTCCTCCAGCCTTCCGCCTCACTACGACTTGGACTCGGAGGACTCTGAAGTGGCTTCTACTTCACTGGACGCTGTGATCTCCACACAAGATTCCAGCTCACCGGAGAAGCCTTATGTAACTTTTGGGGAACTGATGGCGAGGCTTACAAGGTCACTTGAGATCGAAGCCCAGCATCGCTTTGATCCCAATACCGATAAGTTCTATAATATTGTCAAGGGCGAACAGTCTGCCGCCATCATCTTGCCGCTGATTACCACTCTTCGCCAGGCGATGATGGAGCCATGGAATGACCCCAATCAGCCTCAACCCACTTTGCGGCACTACATGTCCATGTATCGAGTCTGTGAGCAGGATATTCCATTCCTCCTACATCACCTGAGACCAAACTTGATTGTAGTAGAGTCGTCTCAAGGGCACGAGTTGAGGGGACACACCACTCCGCACGATAAGGGCATAAGGTCAACATGTTGGCTCACCGGATCTATGCCACTACAGGTCTCAGCCTCGGTATTTCTAATTATGAGGCCACGCTGGCTCGATATCAGTATTTTCTAATGCAAAAGTTAGAAAATATCACAGCGTCACTTCCAGACCAGCAAAAAGACCTGGCCCGAATTTTCATTAAAGAGGCAATGCAGGTGTCAGTCCAGTAGCTTTCCACAGCGAGACACCCTGTCGATTGTGACTCTAGGGCTCTCGTTGGTGCCGTAGCTCTCCGTCGCCATGCCTGGCTCTGGAATTGCAACTTCCCGGACGAGACAAAGCGTCAAATTGAAGATATGCCTTTCGACAGCTCAGGGCTTTTCAGTGCTCAGATGGACCACAAGATGAAGACAATCCATGAGTCGAGGGTTACAGCTTGCCAGATGAAAGTTCCTAATCAATCTCGCCGTAAGTGGTCTTGGTCCCATCCATCCTATAGATACCAGCCCTATTCACACTTTGCGGGCCGACAGCAATTCCAGCCTCGCCAACAGCGTCGGAAGCAACAACAACAGCGCTTCCAGCAGAGCCGTCGTCGCCCCGACTCTGACAAATGCCAGTGCTGATGGGATGAGCAAACCTCTCCTCTCCTCCTCAACCCACCTTCCCCTCTTCTTTTTGGGGATCGACTGCAAAGTCAACTCTCCATTTGGGAGTCCATTACATCTGATCAGTGGGTTTTATCCATCATACAACACGGATACAGGATTGAGTTCGATACTGGGACCAATCCGATTTACACCTCAGTCATCGGTTCTCCTTGATGAAGTTCAACAGCTTCTTCATAAAGGGGTGATTCAACAGCTCACACGCTCTGAGGGGCTCCACGGCTTCTACTCAAGATATTTCATGGTGCCTAAGCATGATGGTGGTCTTCGTCCGATACTGGACCTACCTGGCATCAATAGATTTATCAAAACCAAGAAATTTCAGATGACGACCCTTCAAGATATTCTTCCGTTGCTTAGGAAAGAGGATTGGTTCACTTCTCTGGACTTGAAAGATGCCTACTTTCATATTACCATCCACCCGTCTCATAGGCATCTTCTCCAATTCACCGTTGGTTCCAACCTGTTTGAATATAACGTCCTGCCATTTGGACTGGCTATTGCCCCCCGGGTTTTTATGAAATGTATGGCCCCGGTGTGCGCGCATCTTCGGCTCCAAGGCATTCAAGTGTACCCCTACCTGGATGACTGGCTGATCGTCTCCTTGTCTAAGGAAGGCCTTCGGTCATCAATTCAGACTACTTGTACCCTCTTGGACAATTTGGGACTATGTCTTAATCATGAGACATCGTGCCTTACTCCCTCACAGGTCATCGACTTCATTGGAGCCCATCTCAATTCCACGTTGGCGAAAGCCTTCCTTCCACAAAGTCGACAGGACAGTCTGTTCATCGATCCGTCGAATCCACATGGACAGAACTGTTCCAGCACTTTCGGTGCAGAAACTTCTCGTCCACATGGCCTCTACAGTCTCCATAGTTCCCTATGCCAGGCTACAGATGAGGCCACTCCAGCTGTGGTTCAACGGGCTGTTTCAACCCCAACGAGACTCACCTCACTGGCTCCTCCACCTTCCGACCTCTGTCCTTCAGACTTTATCATGGCGGACTATGCGGCACAATCTGTCTGTAGGCATCCCGTTTCGTCTGCCTCACCCAACTTTGACCCTATTTACCGATGCCTTCCTTACTGGGTGGGGAGCCCTATGTGCCAGTCTCCGTACACAGGGCATCTGGGACTACCAGGAGACTGCCAAACACATCAATTACCTCAAACTCCTGGCAGTCTTCAAAGCCCTTCGATCATTCGTGGACACTCTCCGGCGGCACATTGTGCAAGTTGCCTCCGACAACATTGTCACTGTATTCTACATAAACAAGGTGGGAAAAAGTCCGCCCCCCTGGCCTGCCTGGCGATTCAGCTGTGGGACTGGTGCATCCCAAGGCAGATAACCCTTCTTGCCGTTCACCTAGCTGGTACTGACAATGCGGAGGCTGACATACTCAGCAGACAGATGTCGACGACCCACGAATGGGAACTGGATCGTCAGACCTGTCATTGTCTCTTCCAGACTTGGGGCTCTCCAGACATAGATCTGTTTGCCATTCACACAAACAAGGTGTGCGAGATGTTCTGCTCCTGTGCCGGCATTGGCCCGGGATTGACAGGGGACGCTCTCATGATCCCTTGGACAAACACGTTCTTTTACACGTTTCCCCCGATTCCGCTCATAACAAGAGTCCTGGCCAAGATCGCTTACAACAGTGTCAAGGAAATCCTCATCACTCCCTGGTGGCCCCGTCATCCATGGTTCCCTACTCTTCTCCGTCTGTCTGGCAGCACCTTCCAGCGGCTGCCTCTCATCCCTCATCTAATAACTCAGCAGAACGGAGGTGTTCATCACCCGGATCTTCCTTCACCCAATCTGATGGCCTGGCTCATTCGATGAACCATGGGGTCCCTTCGATACTGGCGGATTCAGGAACTCCTACACTGGCCCGGCACCTCTCCAATACAGCTTCCTCTTCTTCGATACCAGTGGACTCATCATTGAATCTGAGCACTCTCCATCCCGATATTCAGTTCATTCTCCAGTCTGCCCTAAGATTTGCTACTTGCCAATCTTATGCGGCCAAATGGAAGCACTTTACATCTTTTGCTGAATCCCATAACTTTATTGCTTATTCAGCCTCCATTGAAAATATCCTTCAATTTCTCTTATCATTTCATCAGTCTGGACTTAAGCCATCATCTATTAAAGTTTATATCACCGCAATTTCCTACTATTGCTGCCAGGTGTGGGGTTCTTCGGTTTTTTCTCATACCCTCATACATCGATTCCTTAAGGGTTTGCAGAACCTGCAACCACCAGCTCGAACAGTTATCCTTACTTGGAGCCTCTCGGTTGTCCTTCAGGCACTCACTCAAGCTCCTTTCGAGCCCCTGGCGACTACTAACTTATGCCTCTTGTCTTGGAAGACTGCCTTTCTCGTCACAGTCATGTCTGCCAGAAGGGCTAGTGAACTCTGTGCACTCTGTGTAGACCCTCCTTACCTTAACTTCCATAAGGAGACAGTTGTCCTCTGTACCGATCTGGCGTTCTTACCCAAGGTTGGGTCTCTTTTCCATATTAATCAGGACATTGTCTTACCTTTTTCCCTACGCTGTCTACACCGATAGAATGGTCGCTTCACTCTCTCGATGTTCGTCGTTGCCTTGCCTTTTACAGGTCTCGCACGGAGTCCTTCTGTAAATCTAACCGCCTCTTTATCAAATATTCGGACCATGATAAAGGTTCTCCTATTGGATCGCAGAGACTTTTGAAATGGATCGTGCAGACCATTGACCTGGCGTATCAGCTTGCCAAGCTTGACTTGCCTGTCATGCCCAGAGGGCACTCCACGAGGGCAGTAGCAGCTTCTTCTGCCTTTGCTGCTGGCATCCCAATCCAGGACATTTGCAAGGCTGCCACCTGGACTACTCCTTGCACCTTTGCCAGGCATTACCGCCTTGATGTGCATGCCAGGCACGATTGTTCCTTTGGTCGAGCAATCCTTTCTTCTGTTCTTCAATGACGACACTGCCTGCCTCCAGGTTTGGTAAGCTTGCTAATCACCCATATGTGTGATGCACAGAGGCCACGATAAAGAAAGGCAGGTTGCTCACCTGTAACTGTCGTTCTTCGAGGGGCCATCTGTGCATTCACACAACCCACCTGCCGGCCCTGCTTGGTGTCAGTGAATGGGTTTATATGGTACCGTTTTTCCTTGATACCGGTTCCATTTGTATTTTCTCTCTATGGTTCAGCAGGTTCCCTGCAATGTCTCTCGCTCCCACGAGGGGGCGAACAATCGGTCTCCAGTAGACTGAGGAAATGGCGGGCACTCCGCCCTTTTATACTGTAGGGCAGGGGGGGATGCGGAGTTCCTGCCAAAACCATTAAGCTTTGAATCTTTCTGGCCATAGGCACTGCACAGGCACAGCACCCATATGTGTGAATGCACAGATGGCCACTTGAAGAATGACAGTTACAGGTGAGCAACCTGCCTTTTTGCATTCTCTTCAGTGAAGTAAACAATCCAGTCATAATCCTTCTAAGTATTTGTAACTGTTGGTATATATCATCACTGCTCTTCTTATCCTAACCTAGTTGTTTCTCCTGTTGATTTACTTTTCAAATACTATATTATATCATAGCTATATTTTAATTGTTTCTAGTGACCAAGATTATTGATAAAACTACAGTACCCAGAGCTGAATTTAATACTCCCAAGTGAGAGCATACTAGTACAAAGTAAAATGCTAGTTTTACTACATGGATAATATAATAAATCCAACTTTAGTAAGGCAAAAAACATTCTTGACTTCTCTTCATATTGTTATCTGCTGTTATCGTAAACCTTCTCAGCAATGCTGTTGCTTCTTCCAGTGGTTTCAAATGTACAATGGGTACAGATGTTTATTGCTTCATATGCCATACCAGTGCCCCACTCAGTCAAAAAAATCAATGGATTTAGGTGATACTCTTTGTCCCACTGGCTACAGTGTGACATTCTGTGTTGTGTTCCCTTGTTAGCAGTAATAGTGTCATTCTGCTTGAGAGAAGCTGCCATCTATGAGAACAATTTACTGCATTTCTAGTCTTTTATATCTATATTAGATAATCAAATCACAAGACTGCTTTAACAGATTACTCTGATTTTACATACCTGAAATAATACATATGTCAGGAGTAGGCATCTAGTAACCCTCCACATGTTCTTTCCTGCAAGTCATATCACATATCATCCTGCACTATTGTCTGTGCTGACTAATGATAGGTCAAAACTTTTGGAAGGCCACTACTTGCACGCCCCTGATATGTGCTTATAGTGAACTGAATTCTCCAGCTGCAAGTCCTCACATAGCAAAAACATTAACACTCATAAACTAGATGAAGGTATCAGCCAACTTGAACCCAGAATATATAGATTTATATCAAATTAGTAGCAAAATCTTAAGGAAGGAAGGGAAGCAAAGGAACCCAGATTGTGCATATTCAGTGGTCACAGAGTGCTGACTATTTTCAAGGGTAAGCTTCTATTCTGTAAGATGCACAGTGTAGTATTGGGAAAATAGAATCAACAATTTTCAGGACAGTGTTGTTGGCCTAAAGTCCTCCTTGCAGCAGGCACTTATTCTCACTCTTCTTGTTTTATACTCTAGGGACTGAGGAAGAGAGTTGTTTCTCTTTCCTACGGTTTATTGATGTTTCTCCAGCAGAGATGGCAAATCTCATGCATAAGGGACATCTAGCCCGGTAAGTAATGCCAGATCAACTCTTTAAAAAATAGAGGGGAAATGGGAAAATATGTTTTATTTTTTAAAAATAAGCACACTTGTACATAAGTAGATTGTAAACATGAATGCATGTATTTACCACTGCAGTGTATTTACATGGGATATTTGTCTATATTCCAAGCCAACTAGAAAATCTGTGACCTGAGACCAATCTGGTCATACAAATAATACCAAAATAATATACAGAAAACGACATGGACTTCTGTGCACATAATTTGAAGAAATACCTATTATATTCAGTGAGACTTTGTTCTGAGTAAACATCCACAAGATTATTGTTGGTACATGTCATCAAGTTGTCTCTGACTTACAGTGTTTACATGAATGAAGGCCCTCCAGAATGTCCTGCCCTTGACAGCCCTGCTCAGCTTTTGTAAACAGTGCAGGATTGGGCTATTAAAAATAAACTGGGGCCACTTACCTTCTGCCTTTCTTGTCCTTTCTAAAAGGACAAGATCATTTTTGAAAATGCGATTCTTGAAGCAGAATAAATATGAACAGATTAGGAATATAAACATTTACATAATGTCCACATCAGAATACAAGCTAACATGCTTGTTAGCCTTAATAAAAAGAGAGAATACTTTTACATTAATTTATTTGAAAAGTTAATATTTAAATAACAAAGGCACTGTCTCATGATTTTGAAGCTTGGTTGTTAGATCATGCTGTTTATGTTTAATGGTCTGCATTGTGAATTCTACAAAGGTCTGGCTTGAATTCTGCTACAGAAACTCTTAGTTTTCTGAGACACTATTGATAGTTCAGTAGTGACGGTTCTGAAAATGCATTTTTCTTTTAATAGATGCATTCAACTCTTCTGTATTACTAAATATAGAAATACTGGTAGAGTTGGACAAGCAGTTGAATTGGCTAACAAGGCATGTTCCAAGAAATGAGCAGTTAAATTATTATGTTCACTTTGAGTGTGTTTTTAAAAAGTAGCTCTAAGCATTTAAGTGCTTAAAGAATGGGGTTATGAACATTATTCCCTTTCTGCATCCTTGAGTTCTTGTTCACAGAGTTGTGAATAAGAATGTTTACTGTGGTTTGTTTCAGATGGTTAGCTCTTTTCCTGTCTCTGAAAGCCACATACAGGCTCCACCACTTTCGCTTCTGGAAAGAGCTAAAAGAAGATGACCAGCATAAGTCTCAGTGTCTGAAGAACAAAGATTTCTTGCTGGATATCAATTTTCCACTCTCCCCTCCCATCTTGCACAGCTGCACTTTGCTGCAGGTAAGCCCACACTTGCAGTTACATACAAATGCAGATAGCTTGAATTAAAAGAAATTTTAGGAAACCATCTAAACCAATTAATGAGTAACCTTCAGGAATCTCACAAAGGAGTAATGTGGTCAGAGCTGCATGCACTCTGTACAAATAAAACGAAATATAACTGTACTTAGGGTTTTTTTCCTTCTGCCATTTTTGTGACAGTGCTTATATTTCTTTGTGCTTGTCACGAATACAATGTCTTTATGTTTGTACAAGGCAGACTCATTTATTTGGACTCCCTATCTCCTGAAATGGTCTGTATGCTAATCGTGCTTTATGGTCTTCCCTTATCTAATCAACCGCTTTATGTAGTTTATGCTGTATCCTTACACTCCATTTGTAAATGGCATTCCTCCTAGGTACCCAGATAAGGAAGGTGATAGTTGTACTAAATCAATCATCACTGCAATAGTATCTATAGCCATTTCTTTTCATTTTTGCCTGATTGCAGTTTGTTCCAAAGAATTAATAATTTTTGTTTACTTGGGATTTCAGAAAAAAGATATTCACTGTTGCTTGAGAGTAGGAGAAAGAGACATATTTGCATGGTTGATAAAGTTGTGATCATACAGTTGCTGTGATGCGTGGGATCACAGTGGTCCTTTTGTTAAGCTGTTATCACTGTAAAAATAATATCTCAAATAGCTTAGAGGACAGGTCTTACAACAGTTTCTTTTATATGCACCCTCCTAGTATCAATCCCCCTACTAGAATGAGAACCAAGCTCACATGAGATGACATGGGGACCACATGCTTCTGGTATCTCCACATTTACATATGTATACTGAGAATATTTCTCAAAGTTATATACAACCTCTGTGGATATATACAACCTCTGGGCAAGAATCGGTACTTTTAAAACTAAGTACTGCAAGTCAAGGAGTATAAGATGGCATCTTTTGTAACAGAGGTCATGTTTTTACATCATGCTTCACTCAGTGTAGCTCTTCATCAGTTATATATACTGAAAACATAATTAGACAGTGCTGGTGGCCTCAGAATGTCATCCTAGGAAAGAAAGTATTTTCCTATACTTGAAAGGAAAATATTCAATAATTGTTATTTGTATCTCTTCTGAAATGAAATCGAATAACTGAGGAAAATATTTAAATCTTTGCAAACATTTTTAATTTTATCAATTTTTAGAACCTTGTGTTCACAAGCCACTGTAAAGCAGTGATTGGCTATTCTGACTACATCATCCACCAACGTTCAGCTACCTCATGGAAACAATGTTGTCAAATAACAGAGCTGCCGTCCTTCCTGTCTGTAGTGAGCCCAAGGGTAAGACTTTAAAAAATCCCTTATACCCATGTCTAAATATTTTTCTTTAATATATTGTATCTAGAAGAAGTCCAGTATTGTTTATCTTTCTAGGGTATGTTTATTTTGTGTCATTTATATATGTTTGTTTCTTTGTGTTTACAAAACATTTTAGTTTTGCTTGATTGTTATAAACATGGTCCCCATGAAGATCTTGTATGTAATACAGATGCAAAATAATGCGATTGTGCCTGAGCTGCATTCCTCAAAATGTGTATGTTGAGGAAACATGCTGTCTTTCCTATAACATCAGCAGATCTTCCTTCACTGTGCAAGGAGACTGATGGTTCTTATCCTGCCCAACAACAATTAACTATTCATTAACGAAGCTTGCTTCATCTGCTTTATTGCACTGACACGGCGATCCTGTATATCTGAAGACCCTGTGCATGCTACCTTTAGCAGTAGTTTTTTGTCTATGAAGTTCTCCACAGGTAATCAGAAAGGTATTTGTTGAATTCCAATCTTCTCTGGTAAACATCAGCATTTAGGCCTGCCCTCTTAGTAAATGCAAAAATACAAGTTAGAGAGACCGAGAGATCAGCAAACCTCTTTACCCAATGCTACCTAGGCACATGTATCATTTTTGACATTTGCAATACGATGGGGAAGGGGAGCTGAATCTAAAAACCACAGCTTTTGTAATATGCTTTGACAGAAATAGTCTCATATAGTCACAGTATTATGACTAACAGCATAATTAGGTATTGAATGATATTTGAGAACAATATTTAAACATATTGAACTAATAGTATACTAGAAACCACTGGGAGAGGTCATCCAGGGGTTTGGGCTGTGGAGTCATCAGTACGCTGATGACACCCAGCTCTACCTCTCTTTTACATCTAGTCCAGGTGAGGCAGTGGCTGTCTTTTTTTTTATCTCCCCCCCCTTTTATTTTTTTTTTAATACAGGAAAAAAACATAAATACAAACACATCACAGTATGAATAATATGACGTACAAAAGCTCAACTAATAATTGAAAAAGTAAATAATACAGTGCCCCCTTAACCGGTGCCTTACTGGGGTAATGGGCTGGATAAGGGCCAATAAATTGTGGCTTAATCCAGACAGGACAGAGGTCCCGTTGGTGGGAGGTTCAGCCTTCCAGGTAAGTGATTTTAGTGGGGTTGCACTCCCCCAAAGGACAGGTTGCGTAGTTTGGGAGTGCTCCTCGATCCAGAGCTGCCACTGGAATCTCAGGTGGCAACAGTGGTGAGGAGCGCTTTCCTTCAGCTTCAGTTGATCCACTGACTGGGCCCTTACCTGGATGAGCAGAGCCTAGCAACAGTGACCCATGCTCTGGTAACTTCCCAATCGGACTATTCTAATACATTCTGCGTGGGGCTGCTCTTGAAGATGGTCCAGATACTTCAGTTGGTTCAGAATAGAGCTGCCAGGATGTTAACAGGGACTGGCAAGTATTCACATTTAACGCTGGTCCTCTACCATCTGCACTGGCTGCTAATTGAAGGCCGAGCCCAATTTAAGGTGTTGGTGATTGCCTATAATGATCTGAGGCAGAGGTCTGTTCTTTGGGGGCCCTCCCTGAAGGAGATTAGGAGGGTGGCTACCTGGAAAAGGACCTTCTCTGTGATGGCACCCTGGTTATGGAATGTGCTCCCCAGAGAGGTTTGCCTGGTGCCAACACACTATTCTTTTCAGTGCCAGGCTAAAACCTTTTTATTTTCTCATTGTTTTAATGTGGGTTTTATCTTATTGGAATTATTTGTATGCTGTGCTTCATTTCATTTTATGCTGCTTTTACTGTAAGACCGTCCTGAGACACTAGTAGTTGGACGATATATCAAAACTTTAAATAAGTAAATAATCCTCATACACTCATTGCAACATATTAATTGTGAACAAAAATAGTCTCATTTAAACAATAAACATTTCCTTAGAGAAGAAAACAAGTAGCAACAAAAACTGTTTGTTCCTTTCATGAAGATTCTGTAGGTGTACCACTTCATCTTGGGTTTGAGAGCTATATATTCCTGTATGTATATACAGGAATATTTTTCTAATGGTATATATTGTCTTATTTTAAAGTCTTCAAACTATATTTTGAGTGAGTGAAACTTAATCTTTAACATGCTTAACTTGTTTCAAGTAAGAAAATGCTTTAAACGGGTTTTTATCATTCACCCAAATTTCTACTTTTTCCATTTGGAAAAAAATCCTTGGTGTGAAGGAGAAACAAGTTTTCTACAGAGTTTTGTGATTCTTTTCCTTGAAATGTCATATCTCAAGGTATACAGAAAGAAGCATTGAGGTGTAATGGTTAAGAATGTGGGTTTAGGACCATCTGAGCTCTAATCCCTGTTCAGCCATGGAGTCAAATAGGTAACTTTGGGCCAGTCACAGACTCTCAGCCCAAGCTACCTCGCAGGGTTGCTGTTGTGAGGATAAGATTGAGAGCAGGCGGAGGAGAATGATGTAAGCCACTTTAAAAAAAGGCAGGATATAAATCAAATAAATAGATACACAGATTTCATTGATCAGGCTTGTATATTTGAGAACTTCTATGCAAACTTTCACAAGCCTAGAACAAATGCTAGATTCTTTTGATATATAAATGGTACTTAAATTGCACTCACAAAATTAAAATTGTAAAGTGTTTACATATATGATATTTATAACATTCACAACCACATGCAGCAAAACAGCTGTAAAAGTCTGGGGTAGTTGTTCATTTTAGAATAGTTTCTACTGCAGAGAGTACCATAGACAGTCCAACACACAAATGCCAGATGGTGTGGGTAGAAGCACTCTTGGGGCATCTGAGATCTCACATTCTGAAGGGTGAACCACAGTATATCAGGCTGGTATACAGAAAAAAAGTGAGTAAACAAGTTGTTTCAGATATCTTCCTTCTGTTTGTTTGTTTGTTTGTTTGTGTTTGTGTTCTTCACCACAGAATTGTTAGCAGTCTGTAGGAATTTGAGGCATCCAGTACTGTGCAGCAAATTAAGCAATACTACAGAATTGTCCAATTAGGATGCATTATAGTCACCAGCTTTTGAGTGCTCACAGCCTCATATCAGTATTGCCAACTCTGTGTATAAAGTCAGAGAGAAGGACTACATAGACATATCCTCTCATTCTAAGAAAACACCAAGGAATCATGATTTATCTGTCGTATAACTGTTTGTTCTTATGGTTCAATAAAACTGGAAAGCTTTTTGGTTTCTTGCAAGCCCTAATCATTTGTTTGCTAACATAATATGAAAAGCCTTAATCAGCTGCATGTGACTCTCCAAGTAGAGTCAGCCATCTGCTGTCAGAAAATCCTCTCTACCCTCAGTGTGCTTTAGTTGTCTGGCAAGATACCATTAGTGAGGGCATCTGCTTTAACGTAGCTTGCAATCCTCAGCATCTTATCTACTAGTTATTTGAAAGAATAGTAGAATGATAAATCCATATTGTATATGGAAAAGCAATAAGAGCAATAACCATATAGAAGTAGGCAAGAAGCAGAAAGCCCTTATCTGCAAGCCATCCACATACCGCATTCCTGATCTGTGTTTGTTTTAGTAATAACACATCTGTACACATAGTTTGAATTGAGGTGTGGGTGTTTTTGTGTAATGAGAAATTCAATAGAATATGGAACTTACTAAACTCTTCAGTGCTGCTCTCTTTAGCTTACTGCAAGATCTAGCCAGCTGATAAACGATTATAGAATGTTTCTTAGAATGTGATTTGTGGATTATAGCAAATTCTAATGTAAACTTAAGGTGAGAATAGCCAGTGTACTTGGAACTGTGATGTTCTAGAATGGCTTAATAGAACATTGTCATTGACTGAAGATTCTTCTGTTGTGCAGGCTTTTGTTCTAACCTAGGTTGAATTTTTTGGATCCCTTCACAGTATAGATTAGTTTTGATATACTGGTCTTTTTTCATTTGTGTTCTTTTACTTATATTGTTTCTTTTTCATGCACGTTGTTAGTCAAGATGATATTCCTTGGTACCACTTACCTTTTGAAAGTTGAATTAAACCTTTGTTACAGTAGATTTGTCTCATCAATATAGAAGTTCCTTCTATATTTTCTTTATAGACTAATGAACTCTGTTTAAAACCTGTTTAAAAATCATGTGATAGACTTAAGATAAATGTCATCTAGAATTGGAAAATTTACTAATTTCCATCCATAATGCATGTCCACCTTTGCAAATAGTGCTAATAGGTGGCTCAAATTTGATCAGGTAGCAAGTGTTTATGTATCAGTTGTATGTCAACTGTAGCAAGTGTTGTGGGGATAAAACCTGAATAGTGCCACAGTTCTGCTCTACTTGCCTTTTGCCTGCAAGCTTTTTCTATACAACTTTTATCAATACAAAGTTGAATTAGGGGAGTTGAGTTAGGTTGGGCAAAGCTCTTAGGTGCAATGTCTCCTTCCTACTAAAAGTCCATTGTATGTGCTTTTGCTGTAGCACTGTCATATCAGTGGCATCGGTGGCAACAGTGCTAAGTTTTGCTACCACAATGTAACATAGTTTTTTTCTAATCTGTTCTCTTTTGATGATCCCTCAGTATTGTGAATTTTCATTTCAGAGTTGTTTATTTTGCTATTTCCAGTATCTTGCTTGAACATAACGATAAAGTTCAGTTTAGTATTACAGTTACAAATCTTCGATTTGCTCCTCTGTGTCTTTTCCTCTAGTATGGCTTCAGTGAGTTTGGAAGCTTCTGCTTCCAGGTTTAAACTAACTAAAGTTCCTTATCATGTCTGAACTCAGGGACCGCTGTGTAGTTCAAACTTTGATTTGTTCAGAAAGGCCAGAATAATAAACTACAAACTGATACTGGCTCTGTTTGAATAAAGCATTTTTAAATAAACCAGAGTTCCTCCAAATGCAGGTACGGAGGAACTCTAGTTAGTTAATAACCAGAAGTAGATGCTTCCTGTCAGAGGACGAGAGGGAGGAGAGTTATATGTGAGCCAAAGGTTTGT